TCTTTTTAGGCCTCGCCTCTTATTATAGGCGATACGTGAGAGGGTTTTCGTTCATCGCTGCACCTCTGCACAAACTGAGTGTTAAGTCACAGGAACAAGCAGGGAAGTATGCTGGACCATTTGAATGGTCAGCAGAGGCCAATAAAGCCTTTGAGACCCTTAAGTGTGCTCTTTGTGAGGCCCCGGTGCTTGCATTCCCTCGTTTTGATAGGGATTTTGTTCTCGAGATAGACGCATCCATGAAAGGCCTTGGGGCCTGTCTCTCTCAGTACGATGAGAGGGGCAACCTTCACCCGGTGGCATATGCCAGTAGGGGGTTGCGAGGGGCAGAGCGTAACTATAGTGACTTTTCTAGTTTCAAACTGGAGCTGCTCGCCCTTAAGTGGGCGGTGTCTGAGAAGTTCAAAGAGTACCTTTTGGGGAGGAAAACCGTAGTTTGGACAGATAATAATCCTGTCTATGACGCCAGAATGTCACGGGTCACCACAACGAAGCGCAAAACTGCACTACCCTGTCCTGACCCGTGACATTCACATTCTACTTAACAGGCCTACGCTGCACATATTTACTAACACTTTGGATGAAAACTACACCACATCTTTTAGGAGTTTTATCAAGTTTCTTTATTGAACAGACAGTACGGACAGTTAAAATAACAAAAGTTCAGAAACCGTACAGTTTGTAAAACAAACAATATGTCCCAGATTCAAACAGCCAAACTATACAGTTTGTAAAAATTCAAATTTTTTCCAAAATTCAGTCTTGTTGCCCTAAAGGTAAAAACCCATATTTTACCATGTGCTTACATTTCATTTGATGTTTCCATTTCATTATAGATACCAACTCTGGGTTCAAAACACCTGCAAAAAGGATCATCTGAAGAGAACCCAATGGTGTCTCTACACAAACTACCGCCTGTGTTCCAATTATTTTGAACCCAGTCAGTTTACCAATCATCACCAAAACAAGCTGAAATGGAATGCAGTGCCCACATTGTTTAAGGTCCCAAACCCACCAAAACTTGTGACACCTCAGCGACAAAAATGAGGATGCAAAAGGAAGCTTGAGCTAGATGGGACATGAGAAAGTCCACTAAAACTGGCCAAAAGAAAAAATGTACATACAGATATACATAACATAATATATACAATTAAAATTACCTATCAATCTTTGTCTGTACTTTCAAGTTTTTATATCCAGTTCATCAGTGACTTTGTCATCACACGCACGCATTACACATTACACGTGCCCATTGGCTGAATGCTGAAGTTGTGATTTAAAGTTAACATGCAACATGGGTGTTCAGCCAATGGATGCTTGGTTTATCTATATGTATTCTTTGACTAAAAAAGTTGCATATCAATATTGAGCTGTGCAGTTAATTTCTGTAGCACACGATCATATACATGTATGCAAAGCTACATATAGTAGATAGTCCCTTAACTGAAGATGGCATTCAACATAGGAAAACCAAGAAAGCTCTACAAGGAACCTGTCAAGACATCTTGACTGAGAGAGAAAGTGCAATGGCTTCCTCTCACATATTACCACTCCAGCTGAGATTATGAGCAACCTCATCAAAGGTGCTACTCGCCGGTACATGGATGAGCCAGCTTCGTCTTTCTTTGCTTCTCAAATTGACAAATACGCAACTCATCAAGGCGTGTAAAAGTTAGAGGTAGGAGATGGTGTGATACAGACAAAGTAATTGCCTTGTCTCTTTACCATCAAGGCCCAAGAGCTTAAATTTTTGCAGTCTATTTTTAACCTGCCCTGTTTCATCACTGCGAAAATGGTTCCAAAATGTTGAAATTTAACCTGGATTTTGTGATAGAGTTTTGAATGTTATGGAACACAAAGTCACTGCAACGAAACACCATGACAGTTTTTGTGTTGTAACACTTGATGAAATGAGTTTGCGTACTGGATTATCATATGATATTTCCTCTGACAGGGTTGAGGGGTTTGAGGATTTTGGAAGCCTTGGGAGGACAACACAAGTTGCTAACTATGGTCTTGTTTTCATAGTGAGAGGTGTGTTCTCTTGCTGGAAGCAGCACCTGCAGACAAACTATCATATCTCCTCAAGGAACGTCTGCAGAAGCTCAAAGGCATTGGGTTGATTCCAAAGTTGATTGTATGTGACCACGGATGCAGTAATGTGAAACTGTACAATACACTTGCAAATTTCAGAGGAAAAAAGGTATTTCCTGCTTGGTAAAGAAAAGGTCTTTTACATGTTTGATCAGCCTCATCTCCTTAAGAATACAAGATCAAATTAAGTAACTACATGTACCTTTTTAGATATAAGGATTCAGAAGGGGCCACTAGAAATGTAAAATGGTCCTATATACGATCATTTTATGAGTGTGATTCACAAATGCCCGTTTGAATGGCAGCTAAACTCTCACAAGGTCATTTTGACTCGAAAAGCTTCTAAAAAATGAGAGTGAATAAAGCGGCACAGGTCTAAAGTCACTTCTCTCAGGAAGCTCCAAGCTTAAGCTGCCTACACTGCAAAGTTCGAGAAAATTGATAACTTGTTTGATGCATTTAACAGCAGGACCTGGAACGAGAAAAAGGTTTGAAGAGACCTATGTCAGGAGGAACAAACCATTCATCATTTTTAAGTACAAGTACTACTATACCATGGCTTAAAAGTTTGGAAATTGTTGGATTTAAAAATGTTCTGTGTATCAAAGGTATGAATTTTGAGTATTTCTTCCCTTATCCAGCTTTGGAATGACATGAAAACATACGATAGTGTGAAATTTCTTCTAACAGGTAGATTCAACCACGATATAGTTGAAAATCTTTTTCAACAGTAAAGCAGAAGCATGGATTTCGTGATGACCCAACTGCATCCCAGTTTAGGTTTGGTCTACGGATGTTAATGGTAGCAGAGCTAATTAAACCCTTCAGTGCAGGGTGTAAAACTGGAGAGCAGGTTTAAGATTTTTTCCCCAGATAATGTTTACTCTATAAAATATCTACGTGAATATACAGTACTCAGTGCTAATGGAAGTTGGCAGTGGCAACGTAACGTTACAGGTACAAATTTAAATTCTGTAATACATCATGTACATGTACATAGGCTCTACTGCATTTTTATATCAATTACATGTATTAGACCTCAGCAGCCTATTTGAATATTCATGTGTTCATAACAATTGTTTGCCAAGAAAAAAATTAAAGATATACACAAATTGTGGCAACCAAGAAATATTTTATTTTCTATTACAAACACAGCTGTTCATCTTTTATCTCTTCCCACAAACTTTATCCTGCTGATATTCAAGATCCTTTCGGTTCAGAGGTGTCAAGTCCGGTTCAGAGGTGTCAAGAAGTATCATATCTCCACTTTTTGAGGGCAATTTAGTCAGCAGTTCAGGAGAGTGGGTGACTAGAAATGAAACGTGCCGTGGGATTGCTACGCCCAGGAGACATATGTACGAGAAAGCATGTCCTTGGCTACAATTAAACACAAATTAACATTGCTGCACGATTGAATGAGTGCAACCACATAGAACACACCAAAAATCTCCCATTTCATCTCCAACGGTTTTACGTTATGATGTTAAATATTTCTATTTGCTATAAATATAAGTTTCAATCTTAATTGGGGGTAAATATTTACCTTACTGCCCTTTTTCGTGGATAGAGCCTCCCACCGCCATATGTCACGTGTGCAAACAGCTCGCCATTTGCACACTAAAATAACAGATCGTGACCTCCATGAAATTCACACATGCGAGATGGTCAGTTCTCCATCTTGCGCCGCTGGGCGGCGCTAGTACATGTAGAGTAGGAGCTAGACATAATTAACCTGGGTTATTTATGTCTGTCTACGTCTGTGCATGGAGTGTTCTATTTCTCCATGGTCTGTGGGAGCAACACCGTGGGTATGAATGGCTGGATGGATGGGTGATTGACAAATGGAGCCGAGAACGAAGAATTAACGTAAGTTTTCGGATTTTTAGAAATTTTCTCTCAATAGTTTTAAGGACTCAAGGATCCTGTTATTCCTGGGTAGGACTCGGAGTACGACTTTAAAAACCCCGGTTGACCCAGTTTTCACCATCTGACACTAGTCTAGAGGCTTCTGATCTGTAAGTCGTACGCCAGCACAAATACTAGCCTACATTATTATGGCCCCACTAGTGACAGTGTGGCACGGACTCTCACTCCCGATCCATCCTAAAATGGTTCGGGAGTGAGAGTCCATGCCACACTAGTGGGGCTAACATCATTAGGGGTGCATTCCACCATGGAGGAAGGACACAGGAAGAGTTGTAACTCTGGCACTTCAAAGCGTCCAATGACTGTCGCCGCCAAATCTGACGAATAATAGAAAATATTCCAAAAATGACTTATTGCTGCCTGCATCTTAGCTGGACAAGTGGGGCCAGTAACACCCTGGCAATAGTTTTTTGCTTGCAATTAAATACAAACTATCGATATGATACGATTAGCCAATTCAACAGGCAATTATCGGCATCTGGAAAGTGGACATGAGATTTCGTTTGCCCAGTAAGATGTTGGATCTGGTAATACCATTTTCCTGGTTCCGATTTCTTTAAGTGTTCAATTTTACACCTGTAAAAGTTTTGTTTTGCCTCACGAATGGCAATCTCGACCTGCTTTCGTAACCGTTTATAATCTCTTTTCTGCTTAAAGGTTGCATCACATTGCGCCATCAACCTCCGGATACGATTATTCGTCCAAGGTTTATCATTATGTCGCTTTTTAATAAGAACAGATGGAAAATAGTTCTTATACTGATTAATAATTAATTGGAATCTGTGATTCTCACTCAATCCATAGACGGGCACATTAGACATTTTAAGGACAGTTTTGGAGGTACATTCGGAGGATTTTGATTTGGGGTACGAGCCAATTTGAGGGAAATGAATTAATTCAGGCAAAAGCCTATGGAAGGTAGTTGGACCCTACTATCACCGACAATGTCCAAAGTTTAAAAGAGGCGATCAGAGTCCAAGTTACTCGGACTACCAAACGGTACTGTACTACTCAGTAGGCCATGGAGGGTCCATCTTTTTAATGGTTCCGTGCGCTATGGCATCGTACTTCTAGAGAAAATTTCCGTTTGTGCTTTTAGGTTCAGATTCACTTTATTTTCCACATAAGGGTAGAAGCAAATCTTCCTCTACAGACCCTTAAAATAAGTTAAAGGACATGGAACTACCGGGCTTGAGTGCATTTTGTAGCATTTAACCTACATGTGTATACATACATTATTGGCAAAAAATGATGTTTTTTCTACCATCCTCACCTTTCATCCCTTGACGATCCGCACACATCTGCATTCTCTGTGGCCTTACGTGAAGCAGTATATGTAACGGGCATTCTAGACCAAAAAAGGGTTCTATACCGTACCTAGCCAACCCTTTTCCTGGGTACCTACATCCACCCAATCCTTTTCCTGGGTACCTACATCTACCCAATCCTTTTCCTGGGTTCCTACATGTACATCTACCCAACCCTTTTCCTGGGTACCTACATATACCCAACCCTTTTCCTGGGTACCTACATCTACCCAACCTTTTTTAAACCTGTAAATTTCACTCTTTACCCTAACATCTCCAGACTTGCATGCTGCGCTCGCTGCAAGTGCACAACTCAATGCATCCGCTTTGAATTCCATTTTGGCACTCTTGTGAGGGTCTGTGCGGTCCCCGTGGATACCTACTCGACTCTTGCTCGCTTGCTTCAAAAACCCAAACATAACAATGTTTAGTGGTTTTGAAAAATATGACATAATATTAAAAACGTGACAAATATTAAGCAATGGATGCTCACACTATGATATCAAAACAGAGTCAAGCTCAAGCACACTCCAAAACAAGGGCAAGTGCTCCAACCCAATGCTGTAAAAACTGTCACAGAGAAAAACTACTCTCTGAGTTTAAAAAAAAAGTTAAGTTGGGTGAATTAACATCTTGTTGTAAACGCTGTGCAGAAAAGTGACTCGAGGGGCTCAACTGCAAACGTGGAATTTCTAAATATAAATGTAAAGAGTGTTGACCTGTGTGTCTTCACGGTGAAACAAAAAGAAATTATAATGATTGTCGTGCAAATCTGTTTTGTGTGCATCAAAGATATAAATGCAATGTATAAAGTTGTGTAAAATACCAATTAGCAAACGGAGATAGCTACAAACAAAACTAACCCGTTTCACAGTAAAATGGGGGTTAATTTGCTTTTAAAGTGGATAAAAATGTGATTATGTTATATAAAGTTGTACCCTTTAATAAAAACACCAACCATGTCAGCAAATCAAAACACAGCGCAAAACGTTAACAGCAGACTTATTGGTAAAAGCTTCAGCAACTGGAACAAAGCTGCATTAAAAAGGTATATCGAAACGTATAATGTCACTATTCCTGACAAATGCAGATATAACCATAAAGACTACATTGATGCAATTAGAGCAAGTTAGAGACAATATAAGAATTTGTGGACCAAGAGTTGCACCCTGCGAGATATTGCTAACACTAATCATTTGAACCCAACACCCACGGGTCAAGTAAACAGACAAACAGGGAATGCAAAACCCTCAAAAGAGACTACATTAATGCGGTTAAAGAATACATTTCATTAGAAACATTTTGAGAAGCAAACTTTTGAGAAATTAGAAAGTTCCAAAACAATCGATTTGGGAACTACTACCATGGCTTTTTAACATGGAGCCTGTGCAAATGTTGAATAGTCGTTGAGGGTTACAAAGATTATAGTTGATTAAATTACAGATGGTCATTCAAGTGATGTTTATTAAACAAGAACCTAATGAAGAAGGGCACTGTGCATCTATCATGGTCGGTTGTGAAAGCATGATTAATCTCATGTTGAGGAAAGCCGTCATCAAACAAATTTTAAAAGAGCAACGAGAAGAGTTGTTGGAAAAAAGTAGAAGCGTTTATACGCAGAGGTTCTGGTTTTGTGGTGGACGAAATCGTTGCATTTTTATATCAACCTTCTTAGATTTGTAGCTGTCGGTGGTAGCTCTTACATGTATATATACTACTACCCAAGTTTTTACAAAATAAAAAAATAAAAAAGCAATCGTGAACGTACAAAATAAAGATCAACAACGTGTATGCTGGTCTTTGAGAGCAGCTCTAGGTCTTTACAAACCAAACGTCAAAACCCAAATCCCAGAAAATTCAAAGTATGAACTCCACAAAGAAAGAACCTGTATTTACAAAGAGTCAGACAGTTTAAATTTTTCTAACATCAATTTTCTGACACCGATCGATCAAATATGTTGCTTAGAACATCAAAACAATTTAACAATCAATGTATTTGGATATGATTATGAGGAAGAAGAGTGA